AAACCAGTTTTATTAAGTAAGGACTTGTGTCGCTAAAGTTTCGTCGGAACGAAGTTACGGAAAGTTAATTAACAAACGGAGACGTAACAATATATATCATTCATACCTTAGGTGTATAGGACGCAAGGAGATTTTGACATCAAATTTTGGGGTAAAAAAGTACGTCTTATACACCGAAAAATACGGTACTTTTTTTGCATGTGAAATGCATATAACCAAAACAGCTTAAACACAAAATACTCCTGAATAAACTTGCAATGTTTATACCTCCGGATATTTGCTATGGACTATCGCAAAGTAAATCTGGAAAGACATTTTTATTATTGGTTTAACTTAGAATGAAATTTATGTTTTCTTCGTGTTACCTTTTGTATTGTAAAAGTTTTTTCGGTAGAATAATTTTCAGCTTGTGATACTTTGCTTCTGATACTGCTATAGTTATGTATAATTCATAATACTTGTTTCCTATGCTCATTTCCAACATGAAATAATTTTAATATGGTCTATCCCTTATCAGTTTGTAGACTAAGATACTATTAAGTACCCATTACTTCATTTTATGATGGTATTTATTATATTTTACGGATTTTAAGTGCAAATGTATGCTTATTTTAAGCTGTGTATTTATTCAAAAATTCATTATGGAATGTTTCCGTATTTCCTGATTTAATGACTAAACTACAGTTAGTTTCTTCAAGGCTATTGGTGAAATAATGCCCAAAACAGTCATTTATCACATAGAAGCCCTTAGATGTATCAGCGGTAAGTCTGAAGGCTTATAACGCTAAAAATCGAGTTTCGATACTCGTGGTTCGCACAGAACAAAGAGCCCACATTGTATAGCGTTGCGCTTAACAACAAACAAACACTCTAAACGTGACACTTGTAGTCTTCATACTCTTTATACGTAAGAAAATGAAAGTAGCAAAATAATCAATAATGTCAGTAGTGATTGTACCTTTGTATTTGGCATCTTTTAAAGTTATGGTAAATTAACGCTGTAAACTGTTAAAAAAGAGTATTACAGAAGTCCTGAACCACAAGGTGAAAAATAAAAATATAAAGGTCTTATTTCATACAGGGCTTCGTAGTACATCAACGTCAAATATGAATTTCCAATCTTCATAAAGCTTTCAGCTTGAGTTTTAATACACACACATATATTAGAGATTTAGTGGGGGAAGTAGTAAATTCAGTATTGGGAACTTGATTGTGGAAGTTGCGAATAGTATCTTGTACGTACGAGATAGGACTATGTCTGTTTGTAATTAAGCACAAAGCTACACAATGAGCTCTGCCCACCATGGATATCGAAATCCGGATTCTAGCGTTGTAATTCCGCAGACATACCGCTGTGCCATTGGGCAAGACTTTTTCATTCAGGAAATTCATTGTACCAGGAATAAATATGCTCTAAGGCATTTTTATATAGTGCTATCAGTATCAAAGTCATCGTTGCGGAGACTAAATGATATGAAATACATTTTCACAAATTGATTTGGTAATTCCCCCATTTTAAAAGGAGAATTACTTTTCTTTGCACAGAACTAAAGAGTGGGTCACAATTATGTGTAGGGAAGTCGAGGGGGTAATTTTTCTGGGTAGTGGATTGTCAGAATTTCCCTCTTAGAAAAAATTACCGATCATTTTGATTCTTGATTTCTGCTTATAGTTGGTTGGCCAGAATATTACTATCTAAGCTTCACAATTTATTTCTACTTATTTTCCTATGAAAATTATAGTTTCTACTGTGGCCTCCATTTTGATTAGCCTATGTCTTAAGCTAACTTATTTTTTCCATATATGTATCTTTATCTTTTCTCCTTTCATAAGCTCGTATTTTTGTTGAAATATTTATATTATTTTCTGTACTTTTCTGATACCAATTCTTATCAACTCCTTGTTGTAGTGTAGTTTTTTCGATGGCGGGTTCTTTTATATTACGTGGTGAAAATAATTCAACATCCAATCCACTTAACGATAATAAATTACGTTATTTTCTCCTTTAACTTTTCCCTTTTAAGCTGTGGAGGTGTTACAATATGACCGTCAAATCACATTATTTGTTCATAACAAGAGTAGCCCAAAAGTTGGCGGTGGGTGCAGTGGCGTAACTATGATTTTTGGGCCTCTTTGCAAAAATCTACACCCCCCCCCCTCCCAAATAAATATAAGCACAGAATAAACTTGCTATATTGTTTAGCTTTCGTTGGGCTCTCTGAGATCCCCCCCCCCCTCACCCGGTATTGCGGTCTCTGCTGCACTGTAGTTAACGTCACTGGTTGGATGGTGTAAACTAGCTACTTCCCGCTAGTCTATCACTTCTAAATTAGAGATGGCTAGCGCAGATATCCTTCGAGTAACCTTGTGCGAAATTTCGACATTCTTGTACTGCAATCATTTGGGTAGAGGCCTATATTATAAATGGTATTAACTTACGTAAAACAAATCAACTTACTTGTGCAAAGTAACAGCGATAGCTAAAACACTAGCAGATTCAACCTGTATCTTCAAATAACTCCATCCTCTTTTAACTTTTTGTGTGTGTTTGTTATACTTACAATCTATTTTTCAATATTTTTGTTGACTTCCTCTTAGAGACAGGGATTTCTTTTTCTACATTTTCTGATATTACTATATTAACATAATTCCATTACTGCAATCTTAAATGAAGTCATTTTAGGGATAGGTTTATCGTTTTCCTTCCAGTATTTTCATAATTATACATATTAGTATTATATTTATATATTCTATATACATCCCAGTAGTGAGTGATCAAGCTCCAGTAAATATAATCATTTTATGATTTTTAAGTACTGAAAATAAAATTATATAAAACACATTATTACCAGCTGACTAAAAATAAATTCTCAAGAGCAATTTCCACACACGTATATACCAACCAAAACAGCACCTTTCAACCTAGTTCAGAGTAAAGAAATGTGCATGTATAAGTGTATTTCAATTCAACTTTACCAGTTTAGTACAATGATTACGGTCCTAATCACTAAGTATCAAATCCAATGAAGCAGTTTGAGCGAAAGATTTGAGTTACAGTTTGTATGGTTGTTTTAGAGCAAAACTACATTAAGCTATCTTCTGAGTCAACCGCGGAAACCGTACCCTGGATTTTAGCTTTGTAAGTCGTAGACTTACCGCTCTCCCATCGGAGAACTTGAATTAACGAGCCAGTAGGCAGTACATTTACATACCTCTGAACACAGGCTTAGGAAAGAGAGGATGGGGGCTAAGGGGCCGTGATAATCCCCAGTGTAGGTCTGGTGATCAAATCTCTCAACGTTTTAAAATTATATTTTCAGTCAGTGTGAAATATATCGAAAACAGAAGTTTGAAAAGCAAAAGTTTTCAAATTTCTCACAAGGTATTATAACTAGCTCTATGGTTGACAAAATAAAAAGTACCCTGGTGTGTCGGTCAGTTCAGAGACATCTAATGGTAAGATCCGGGATTCAATTACCCATGTGGACAGAGCTCATATAACCCATTGTGTGGCTTTGATCTAAAACAACAAACTGTTACGTCTCTGGTCGTTTGTTAATTTCCCGTAAAAATGCTTTCTGAAGAACTTCAGCGATACAACTACTTTCTTAAATAAAACTAGTTTATATTTTCTCGATTCAACTTTGCAATACACTTAATTTCCACAGTCACTTTAACTTAAACACACGATATAATTCACAACGATTCACGCACTTTAGTTACAGTCACTACCGCCCACTTGACTCGATTATCTGTCTCTATATCTCCCTATCTGCAATTATATCCCCGTTTTATTTGCCGGGCTTATATACAGAAATAGAGGGCGTCTGGCAAACACTAGAGTTGCCAGGAATAGTCATGATCCTTCTAGAAACTCATGACGTGCTACCAGCGTCACGTGACTTCCGCTGTCGTAACAAAACAAACGAAATAAGAATATACCACAGCTAAAAAAACTCAATAATTTCAATATGCAGTACCTTAAGACATCATAATTAAGGGGGCAGATCAAAGTAAATCGAGCAACACATTACCCAACGAAGTGGAAGATGCTATTGGAAGAAAAGGAAGATCGACTTATCTTCTAAAGTCATCATCTCACTGAAGTAGGAATAACAGATAGCAAGAAACATAACTTTTTATAAAAACCCAAGTAATCAAATGATCAAGAAAACAAAGTTTAAACAGCAAGAATGAATTTTATTTTATTCTTAAAGTTAAAACGAAGAAGTTTGTCAGAATAATAAACCTGAACAAGTTCGATGACGAGGAACCCACTTTGAGACTAATTATGGCTGGAGGCGGCCTGATACCTGATGATGACAAAACCTTGTCGAAACGTTGTACATTTGCTGTTATGTTAAACTTATATTAAAGATTTTCTTCATTACCCATTCAAGCCGTCTCCAGCCATTATTAAACCTGAACAAGGCTGATTAAAGTTACCTGTAAAGACAGACACAAGACAATATGCCTTCAACTGAAAATAAACATGCAGTAAATTTCTATTCAGTTGCTGCATATTTTGAAAAGAGTTAAGAACCTATGAGTGAAAACGAGAAGAATGTGTTATAATAAATACACTCGGTTACATATACCATATGTAATGGGCTAACCTGCGGTTATTGAATCACGATTTTTAGCATCATAAGCCCTCAAGTTTACCGGTCAGCTGCTGGGGACTATTTTGAAGGTAATGATTAACAAATTTCATAGTATTTCAGTTAACTTTATCATTTTAATTATTTCATAATTAAAATTAAAAAGATAGTAAATCAAATTAAACATCCTAGCTTCATTATGTATTTTAGACAATATTAAATTACAAAACATTGTGATTTACGAATAATATATGTACTGTTGGCGACGATAGCTCGACTCATGAATAAGTATTTCTAGGGTTACACCTGTGACGTCATCCAGTATAAACCGTACAGATAAAAGACATTGGAAGTTATAGACGATAGTGTAAAACTGTCAACTTCTTTGGTACAAACAGAAGCTTACACTCTAATGCTGGCCAATAATGCTACAAAATATCCAAAACTTCACGCCATGAAAAGAAAAGTTGTTTGGTTGTATGTGCTTTCTAATATACATACATAGACCTTACTAAAATACATATTTTAATATAAGTATATTAAACTTTCAGTCTTACAAATGTAATCTACAACCTATCGTATAATTCGTTATATCTAGATTAACAACAAGTACAAATGTGATCTTCAAAGGTTCAAAGGCTATCAGGGTCGTAATTTTGATGTCGAAATTTTGGATATCATTCATAGATCTACCTCTGAGCTTACTGCTTGGGCAATTCAAAGGTAGGTTCCATACTTATAAACACTAGTTAGCAAATGTTGTGTAATGATAAATTTTCTATAAAGTAAAATAAATAAGGCTAAAGATCCAATTTTAGTTCACTGTTGTTTGTGTGCAAATATAAAACATTGATGCATCAGTCTAGTAGGCTATTTTATTGCTTAACAACACAACTGTTTGACAAATTACAATGAATTTTGACACAATTATTTTTCGTGCCAGTAACAATATCTTTTATATATACATAAAACAAATCTTATCGTCTTTATAGAGAATACGAAAAGGAGAGAAGGCGGCAAATTCAGCAAAAGCAAATTTTAGGCAGACCAAATGACGACTTTCGCAGAAAGATCTTAGAAGAATTGAAACAATGTTTTTTAATTAGTCAGGTAATAGCTGTGACTGCAAGTTTTGAAACATAGTTCTTATGTTTAACTTATATAACTTTTATGATCATTTTACTTTCGAGAAATGGTTTGAAATCATCCTATTTCATTCAGGAAGAAGAAATCAAAAACGAAGAAATCAAAAAGCTGGAAGTAGAAATGATGAAAGACCGAATCCACGAAGAACTCCTCTGGTTTAAGCATGAGAAAGAACTTAAGAAAGAACTAGAAGTGGCTAAGGGAATGTTTTTTCAATTATTAGATGTTCGGGTAAAGTAGATAGTTATTTATTGTCCATTTTCCAAAACAATACAAATATTGTCTTCTCATGTTACAATTATGCTAATATATATTTCTGACTATATAACAACTAAAAGTTACTTTGGATTTCTTGCTACATATTTCCAACTCTGTTGCAAGTATAGGTTGAGGCCTTTATGGCTAGACATTTACCAGGTTCTACAAATATTTGTAATAACCAGTTGATTTCTCCGAACATTACTTTAGGATTGTAATAGTATATAGTTCTCTTTAAAAGGATTAGTTGGAAAGACACTACAAGTCACAAAAAAGCAATTTTATTGAACTCAGTGGTGTCGTAGTGGGGTTGACCCCCCCCCCCTCTGCAGTGAAGTTGGCTATTCTGTAAAATTCGGTAGCAAAAAATCATCTGAATAAACCTGAATTTTCAGCCTTTTAAAAGGCACAATGGTAATAAAGAAACATTTTTCTTAAATTTCATGAAATGGCATGCTATATTTTTAATGCATGCAAAACTATTTCGCGGTAATAAGAAACTCCACTTCTAAAACTATCCACTTACCTTTTCACACAGTAGCTATTTCTCGCACGTCTGCTTTTGAAATTTTGTACACGCCACTAACCTTGAACTATCTCCCACCTAAGTCATGTGTTTTGACGTGAACTGCTCTAGTACATGTTGTAATTATAATACGGAAATAACCCTCAACCAAGAAGAGGTCAACATATCCTCTATGGGCCGGAGATCCCCTTAAGCACTCACACTCATAATGAATTTTATCTTTTAACTGGGCACTCCTGTTACTTGGTGGGAAGTAGGTCAGGGATCTCTATGTCACTGTAGTGCAGATCATTCCTGTTCTCTGCCAACTTCCCAATGGTTTTTGACCAGCCAGGTGGGGAAAGGTGTTCTCCTCGGGAGGGAGGAAGGGACCATAGTCCTAACCATATAGTCAAATTGTTGGCTTAGCCACATATCCATCCAACCTGCTGTGTGCAAGAGCTTGGTTGGTCATGTACTTTTCTCTGCTCTTCTCTCTGATATATTGGCTTTTTTTGCATTACTACTTTCATACTTCCATCTGGGTGAAGAGTATACTCTGCCTGAAAAAAGTTTGTCTTTCACAAGCTTTGCCCCTTTAGTAAGCTCCTGCTATTGGGTGTCACATTCAATGAGCTTCCCCTTTTGACACCTTCTCTGAAGGGATCTCACCTAGATTTTCTTGTCTGCACCAATTTATCCATCACATTAGTGGGATTTTAGCTAATGTATGCAGAGAGGTAAGTGAATTGTTTCAGAAGTTAATATTTTCCTTACCTCAAAATATATTTTTGATAGATACTTTTCTTTACACCTTCCCACTCCTCTCCACTACCTGCATATTATTCTTGTCTTGTCTACAAGTGAAGTTAATTTGAATTGCAAGTGCTTATGGGGATCTATTACTCATGGAGGATGTGCCACCTTGCTATTGATAAAAGGCTGTTACTCCATGATGATTATATCATGTACTAGAACAGTTAAAACACGTGATGTAGATGGGAAATAGTTCAAGGCTAATGGTGTATGCAAACTTTCAATGCCAGTCTTGTGAGAAATAGCTACTGTGTGCAAATATTTAAGTATTTATCATAAATACATTTTCAGGTAAGAAAAATGTTACCCATGCATTTTTATCTATGTGCTTTTAAAATTTTACCGAATATTAGAATGTTTCCTTCAACCAATGCAAAATCATTCAGTAACAAGATATATTACATTGGATTGTTATATATCATTCAGTGTTTTTCATTTAACCCGTATCTCTCATATTATTTGTAGTAGTTTAATTTCCGAAGATTTAACAATGATCAAGAAATAAGCTAAATGTTTTACCTAATCATATGATGTTTTGTTTACTGAATCGAATGCAAAATCATTTGCCAAAAAGAAACATCACAATTATATATATTGTATGCATTTCTTATTTACAACTTGTCCCTCCTTTTGCAATTGCATGAGAAGGTTTGGTTTGGTTTGAATTTCGCGCAGAGCTACACGAGGGCTATCTGCGCTAGCCGTCCATAATTTAGCAGTGTAAGACTAGAGGGAAGGCAGCTAGTCATCACCACCCACTGCCAACTCTTTGGCTACCCTTTTACCAACGAGTAGTGGGATTGACCGTCACATCATAACGCCCCCACGGTTGAAAGAGCAATCATGTTTGGTGTGACGGGGATTCGAACCTGCGACCCACAGATTATGAGTCGAGCGCCCTAACCACCTGATCATGCTGGGCCACATGAGAAGGCAACAAGATTTTGTACTTTTGCTATATAGGTGATTAAAAAATACAGATACAAAACCCTAAGAGGTTTCTGTATATCGACATCAAGGATTCATTATTGTTTACACAAGAGTAGAAGAATCAGAAACACACTTTTGTATGTACCCATAAAATGTATAATATCATGAACACAGAGAAACGAAGTAGTCAGGAACTAAATGTTGGATATGCCCCTTGTGAGGTTGTACAGAGGAAGTTTTATTACACCATGCCCATTCCTACCTTGTTTTCTCACTTTTTTAGTGCACCCATTCATACACTTTCAATTTCTTTAATATTATATTTTTCCACTTGTCCATGCACTTCTTTCATACTAGATGACACGCTCTTATTCATCATTCATTCATTTGTGTTGATATCCTGTATGTATATCATCAGTGTGGGTATGCACCATAATATTTTGATATGTGCAAATAATGGTGTGTGTGTGGTGTGCATTCTCTTCACTTATGGTGTTTGTAAACATTGTGAGTGTGTGTGTGCTGTACATGTGATGGCACACTCTACAGTGTGTAATGTCATATAGGTGGTGTAGTATAAGTTATGGTTGTGTGCGTATAGAAAGAGTTGGTAAATTAGTTAATTAATAAAATACTAGTTCAGACAGCTTATAAACAGTTTTTCTATCATGTTTTCTTTAAACTACTTCGAGAGGCTGCCTTGCTATTCTCAGCATCTTTGCCATAGCTAACCTTGGAACTACTACGAGAAGCTGCCCTGCTCTTTCCTAAGTCTTTGTTATAACTTCATTTTGATGTAACTTAATAGGAAGCTTTCTGTCTTTCAGGATTTACCTGTTTACTTGCTTTAGAATAAGTAGTTGTACTAGCCTTCTCATTACACTGGCTTTTCCTATAATTATTTTTTCACAAGGACAAATCCCTTTGCTTCTTATTCTGATAATACTGCCTCTTTTTGCTTTTCTACTTTGTACTACAGAATGCATGCTGATACTATTCACGTGAACTGAGTACAAATATTGTTTCAACTTATCTTCAGTTGAATAGGAGGTTTGTTTGACAGAATGAGTAATACAGTCAAAGAGAATTGGAGTCTCACTTAAGCACCAATTGGAAGAAATTCAGATGAAATGGATCAAAGGCCAGTTCAATAAAACAAATTAGTGATCACCTCAAGCTTAAGAAAATAATTTATATTTTAACTGTAGTGAGTGACTGCCCATCCACAAAAGCTGACTGATTCAATCTTGTAGTCAGAGTTTACCTTATAAACGCTTGTAACAATTTCAACTTGAATATTTTTGCACGACGAAAAACTGGAAACAACACTTTCCAGCTAAGGTTTATATGTAGCACAAACTGAATGTGGCAAATTGAACAAGTTGTAGACTTCCACGCTACCTATTAAATGCTTCATGAATGCAAACTTGATTTAATATACAATATATATTACAAATTCCTTGTCAAGGAGTGTAGCTGTCTTCTAGCCTAGATAGTGAAGCTTCTCTCAAAAATGTCATACCCCATACTACTTATAGTGTCCAGATCTTGTCACACATTGCTATTGATCGAGAAGACCACACCCCTTTCACTGTTTTATTTTACTAAACCTACTCAGTACACTGAGTGAGCGAGCGGACCCGGACGGACGTATGTATTGTTACGTCTCCGTTTGTTAATTAACTTTCCGTAACTTCGTTCCGCCGAAAATTTAGCGACACAAATCCTTACTTAATAAAACTGGTTTATTCTTCCTGAATATAACTTCACGATACACTTGATTTCAACAATCACGCTAAAACAAACGCTATAACGAACGTTAACTTCAACGATACTTTCTCACTGCAGATTAATTACTCACTACCTACACACACATTGTCACGTCACGTTGTCACCCTCTTATATATACATGACTACCCTATATCTAGTAATCTCCCGACAATTACCGAAGGTTCGAGAGAACGAGTCACGTGACCTCGCTGACGCAACAGTATTTTAAAATTGCATCCCTGTTCAAGGTACTACCTGATGTATATCAAATAGCTCTTCTTTTTGGTGATATCTCTATATAAATAAAATAAGAGTTTTGTCTGTACATTGCTTAGAATAGTGTACTTTTTTGCATATCTTCACGTTTCATACACCAGAGAAGCCGAAACAAGCCTTATCTCAATTTCTGTCTGTCTGTCGGTAACGCTCGCGGACGTGTTTTTGTTCGCTTTTCACGAGAAAACGAGTGCACCGTTTTCGATGAAACTTTTTCTTTGTTTTATAGATGTGTAAGGTTATAGGCTACTTGAAACTGTCATACA